TTATATTTAGGGGATGCAAGGTTGATGGAGGGCAGGTCTTAGTGCCCTAATTATTTGGGCTAAATTCAACCAAAACTTAGGCTTCTTTTTCCATTAAAGTATGTATAGATAAGCAATGCTCACAAGTTTTGTCATTCCCAAAACATGAATTGCTTGCAATTATTGCTATACGACGATCTCATAACCTTACATGTACTGGACTAAGTCATTTGGCTCGACATTCCCTCTGCTCGGAGTCAAGATCTCTCAATGCAACATTGCATATGAACATCTTGAATACTCATTCATCCCGATTCTATCAAGACATTGGACCTCCCGTGCCCATGTCATGTCATTTATGGATAATGTATTGGATGACGGGTGCATATATCAACCTCCGACACATGGGTTGGGGCGCAATACCGGCACACCCGTGTTGTCCGGTACTGTCCTTGAAAAACTCATTTAAAGAAAGTCGTCCGAGACACTCATCTTAACACGCTTGCCCGCACTGTGACACATGCGTGTGCCACAAAGTAGCTCGCTTAGGCCACAAGGAGAGGTAGGGTGGAAGAAAAGGAAAAGTTAAGAGTACAACTACCTTTTCTTAACTAAACTCGAACACTTGGTGAAAAGGAGTGGGACGTTTTTTTTAGCGCATATTTTTCATATTGATCAAGTGGGTTTCCTTTCATTTTCGGAAATCATTTCATACCAATGAGATTTAACTCAAGAAATGGAATTTTCCAGCAATATAAAAGGAATAGCTCTAAATCTTGAAATTGAGAACGTAGAGATTTTCGTGATAGCTCTCATACTCAAAACTCTTTTAACACCAATTCTAGATGTTAAACGGGTCGAAAAATGATGAGGTTCTATAGACGATTCATTCGAAGTAAGCTCGAGCTTTAAATCATGATTAAATATTAATATAATTCACCTAAGTTATTGTATGAATAGAGAATGGAGGTGGGTGTTAGGCTAAGGTGATGGATGGGTTAACCTAAAAAGTTAGTGTTGTGGCATTTCATGATGGTATTATGGTTGGTTTTGTCCTCAAAATAAGAACGAAAGCTGGATTTTGAAGTGTTTTCTATTGCTTCTTTTGAATCTTTCAAACCCATTTGCAGTTTGGTCACAAGTGTATGCCAGCCTTAGACATGGCCCATTCTCCCCAACTTCACTCCCACAAACTTCCTTCCTTTCAAAATTTGCATACCACGACCCCACTAACAGATATTATTTGTTTTAGCTCGTTACGTACCATTGTCAGTTTTACAATTTTAAAACGCGTCTATTAGAAAAAGGTATCCACACCCTTATAAGAAATAGTTCATTCCCCTCTCTAACTAATATGCGATCTCACAATCCATCTCCATAGGGACCCAACATTTTCGTTGGCATACCACCCAATGTCTAACTCTAATACCATATGTAACAGCTCAAGCCCATCACTAACCGATCAAACGATCTCACAATTCACCCCCTTAAAGGCCCAGCATTCTCGATGGCACATCACCCAATTTCTGACTCTAATACTACATATAATAGCTCAAACTCATCGTTAATAGATCAGCCTCACGTTTTTAAAGCGCATCTACTATGAAAAATTTTCAACATCCTTATAAAAATGGTTCGTTCTTCTCTACAACTTTTCTATCTAAAAATTATATTTATATTTATTAAATATAGTCTCAATTTTTCAATAAATGTTCTAACAAAACTACAAAATTAATTTCTTACCAAAACAGGTAAGTTCTAGATAAGTTTCTTAGAAATTTCTATACTTTTAATTTTATCTTTTAAATATTTTTTAATATGAGTAGACCCACGTCAATTTTCAAAAAAATATTAACGCAGTAAATAAATAAAAAAAATTTATAAAAAAAAATTTATTGATAATTTTAATGATTTTCAAGACGTCTAAACGGTTAAATGTCTAATAAAAAATATAACATGTTTCCATTTCTCGCCGTACATTAATATTAAAAATAAAAATTTGTGGTATAATATATTTACCCATCTTAATTATATATGAAGGATAAATTAAAAGAGCTAAAATAGATATTTTAAAAGAAATAAAATTCAAAAATATATATAATTTTATGAAATTTAGATTAATTAATGATAAGAGAGACAAAAATTATGGATCTGAGTGACAGCCAAGTCGCGTAATGAACAACAAATCGGCTGTTTTCTTTGGTTTGACCTTAGTTGGTCAACTCTTCAATTTTTTAAATTTTTTAGAAAAACCAAATATTTTCCGCTTAAAATGGGTAATTATTGGAAATTGAGAAATTTATTTAAAATTAAAAAAAAAAAATACAGAGATTTTGAATCACAATAATTGAGAGTGAGAAGAGCTTCCAGAACACGGTTTTGATGTTTAATTAAATAAATATTTTATATAAATAATTTTTAAATTTACTTTTTTTTTCTATATTAAAATAAAAATTAAAGAGTAATAGTTTTTGTTTTTCAAATTTATTTAACCATTCAAAAAAATATTTTAACACGAATTCGGTTAATATGAAATTATTCAAAATAAAATATATATATAAATTTTTAATTATTTAAAGTTTTTATTAATGTTGAATTTAATTATATATCTCTTATTTATTTGAGTGTCGTGGTGAAATATATTTTATATATATTAAAAAATAGGAGGAAACATGGATGTGGGTTCAAACGGCTATATTTAGATTTGAATTGGATTTAGCTCAAAACACAGCTGGAGGCATCAGTTGGCTGTCTAATCATACACTATTTCTTTTCAAATTTTTTATATTTATTAAATGTCTAATTAACTTTTATTATTCATTCATTTTTTAAATATTAAATTATATATTTATTTCTCAATTTTAAATTTGTGATTGGCAGCCAAATTTTTTTATATTTTATTTAATAAAAATTAACTCATCTATTAAACATAAAAATAAATTTTTGTTCCATAAATTGAAAATATTAATTTTTTTGAATCTAATAAATCTATAATTTTTTTAAATAGATAAAAAACTAAAAATTAAATTTTTGTGGTAATTACTTCTAATTTAAGGGTGAAAATACATACTTTTACTAAATGATTTTCTTTTTTTTCAAGATTAATTTTAGCATTCTTCAAGGAAGAAGGGGGAAATCAAATAAACAAAACTTACCTTCCAAGGTAATTTTTGGTGTTTTTTTTTTTTTTTTTATAAAAATAACAATTTTTATTGTTTAGTAATATGGATTATTTACAACAATTTAATATTAATTTATCAAACATTTTAACCTAATTTTCTTTTTAATACAGCTTTTATATTTTTAAAAATATAATTGACAACAATTATTTTAAAAACTCAAACTAGGCCTAAAAATCCCAATTAACTTCTTAAATCAGAAACTTACAAATTAAATTAATAAATAGATTTCTTGAATTGATTGTCTATATAGAAGAAGTTATATAAACTCCCAACAGCTACATCTCATACAAATTTTTCAAGCATTTCATAAATTAAACAATATTTAATTGGTTGATGATTTTATTTAATTCAATTTACAATGTTTATACCCCTTGACAAACGAAAATGCATTAGTTATTTGTGTTCGAAACAAAAAATACGTTAAATGTCTATCCTTCCTTGTATTTTCAATAGTTATAAATTTAGATTTTAAATTTTTTTAGATTCGATCGTCTACTGTGTTAGATGAACACGAGTTTGTTTTGGGGTTTCTCAAAATGTTTCATACTAATGGAGATAGTATTCCTAGATTATAAACTCAGGATCATTCTCTATTGGAGAAAGTTGTCTTCATCTAACATACTGTACATAAAATTGAGGATTTAAAGTTCCATTTGATTTGGTTAAAAATTAATTAGACAAAAGTGGAAGGACTATCGATGCAAACTTTAAAATTAAGAGACTAAACTTGTAATGGAAGAAAAACACGGGTAAAATAGCAATTTAGCCTAGAATATGAATAAATATATATATATATATAAAAAAAATAATATGTATCCAGGTTGGTTTATAGCGCGTACAGCCGTGTTCCCCCACCAGACGCCACCGCCCACAAAACCCCGTTCGACGCGTACAAAATTTCCATGTTTCGTATAAATAAATCATTTCGCCTTCTTTTTCCACCAAACACAAATCTAAAACTCCTCCAACTAAAAATCGATCAAAACCTGAAACCTCTCTCGTTTTTATTCTGTTCTTCTTCAAAATGCCAAGGAAAAACAGCAATGTGGGTCGTAGAGCATGGAACTTTCTTCGTCTAGCCATCATATGGGCTAGAAAAGGTGGTGTTTTCAAGCGGAGGTTTCTCATGGATCACCTTCGCCTTGTCCCCAAGTTTATAAAGACCCTCGGTCACTCAACGCCCCGTGGCCACCTACATTACGGTGATCATGAGCTTTCCTTCGACGAAACGCCTGTTTTCCACATAAGGATGCATCGTCCTACCTCCATGCGATTCCACTTACCCTGCATTACTCCAGAGACAGTTGATTTTGAATACGAGTTTGAAGACGACTGTGACAGTGACGATGATGGTAGTGAAGTTTATAGCCAGGATAGCGAGCAGAGGAGTTCGGGATATGAGGGTGGGGAGGAACAAGAGGATGAAGAAGAAGTGGAAGAAAATGGGATTGATTTGAGAGCTGAGAAGTTCATAGCTGAGTTCTATGAGCAAATGAAAATGCAAAGACAGATTTCATTTTCACAATATGATAAAAATCATTGAAACTAGAGTTTTGCTTATGAATTTTGAAGTTGTTTTTATAAATATGCATACAATAAGATTCATTCGTTACAGTTCTTGGGTGTTCTTTTTTTTTTCTCTGTTTAAGTCTACAATTCAAGGCATAACAAAAATGTATACAGATCAAACTCTAAAACCACCGAAACTGTACTTGAAAAGACAAAAATAATATAGCCAAAAACTGGCTTCTGGCATGTTTCCCCAAGTATCACCAATTCAAAGAATGCACTAATTTAGAATGCAATCGATCGATCAAGACGGGAACGATACAAAAAGGATTAAACCTAAACGAAGTTCTACTTGATAAATAGTATAAATACAATCCCTTTTTCAGTTTTCCACATGTTTGTCTCGTCCATACTACACTTAAATCAAGATACTTGTATGCTAGAGAGCTAAATTGTGTTGGGGGTGCAAAGAACAAAAGAAAAAAAAAAAAAAAAACCAAAAACACTTCACCGGAAAATTAAGCTCGTGCCAACTCGGAGGATGTCAAAACGCTATAATTGAGAAGAACACAATCTTCTGTATCCCACTACAATTACTTGTATAGTCTTTGATACGACTACTTTAAACCGGACAGCTACTTGCATAAAACACCTCATATTGGAGTTCATCCTCATAGTACACATTTAACCCAGCAAAAAGAATCGAGTTCCTTTTCTGAAAAAGACAAGTGTATCAGAAGGGGAAATTTTTACCATAACAGAAAAATGGGTCACATTTTTTGTTTCTGCCAGTGGACAAAAGGAAATATAAACTTAATACTCATAAGAAGTTGGTTTACCTTGAAAGAATGTAGTAGGAATAACTAGTGATAAATTATGCATCAACTTCCATTTTGTTGCTTTTCAAGATATAAGTCCAACTGCCCCGTTGCCGCCAGTATAAAACCTTCAAAAGTAGAGTTATAAAAGTTAATATTAAAAGAGAGGGAAAATACATTAAAATAGCACTTGAAGCATTGAAAATGTTATTAGGCATGTCACTGTGCTTGTAGTGGTAGTTCTCTTATACATTTTAATGGGAAACAGAGAAAACAGGGTATGCGGAATTTTAGAACTGATTTTACCTAGAAAGACAGGCGACGGCCTCCTGGGCCGAGATTTAAATTCTGGATGAAATTGTACACCCACATAGAATGGATGGCTTGGAAGCTCTAAAATCTGGAGAAAAAAGAGATGCATAAGATCTCATTGATTTAAGTATTGATACAGACCAGTAATGGCCTAGCACCTAATGCCATGAAATTGCCGGTGCAGGAATGACATCATTCAACACCTGACGATGAGCGAAAACTAGCACATCTCACAAATGGGAACCTACCTCCATTCGATTTCCAGTCTCATCCTTCCCAACAAATTTCAGGCCAGCTTCTTCAAATGTCCCGATGAACTCTGGATTTACCTGCAAAATAATGATTTTACTCGTGTCAAACCTTCCCAAGTTTCAAACTTCGCAGCCAGATAAACTTTAAAAACCTACCTCATATCTATGCCGATGCCGTTCATCCACATATTGTGAGTTATGATACCTATCAATCCCGAAAGAGTTAGGGGCAGGATAAATGCTACAACGAAATACTTAAGTACAAAAGATATACACTTGGGATTGAATTGGGACCATAACCAAACCAACCTCTTAGTGCTATTGGCTTAAAGAGACCCACGTGCAATATATAAAATTAAATGGCAAAATATATTGAAGGGGTACACGAGCATCAAAAGTAGTTACAAGGGTGAACTCAATACAACTACCAATATAGTTCAGGTACTTCCAATATAGTTTCTCCAACAAGTAATACTAGGGCGAACTGAAATTGTCATTAAGCATTTAAATGTGATAAAAGAATAAGAACACATACACCCTTGAAGTAATACAGTCAGCAGTCTGGAATAGTGTTCTTCGAGATCCTAATCTCATAGTACTTCCCATATGGGTCTTTGAACCCTACACATGAACACAGAGGGAAACAAGTCCTAACAGATTACATTTAGAAGTAGCTTAACAGTAAGCAACATACAAATTGTCTTAAAGAAATCAGCACCTCAGGCATGAAAATAACAACAGGATTTGGTGTCCCATCGTCAAACTCTGTACTGTTTGCCTTTTCCCAACCCAAAACCTAAAAGAAAGCAAACATATTAGGATGGAGATCGCAACAACAGAAATAAGATAAATACAATATTAAAAAAAAAATTGAAGTTTGGCTATTGAAAAAAAAATATCACTTACATTTCTAGCAAACTCAATTACAGATATCTGCATGCCCAAGCAAATCCCAAAGTATGGAACTTTGTTTTCTCTGGCATACTTTGCAGCTAATATCATACCTTTCACACCCCGATCTCCAAATCCTCCAGGAACCAAGACACACGATGCTTTCTGAAAAAAATAGGTTTATCAAGAAAGGATCGGAAAGGCTTTAAACCAAAAGCCATAATAAACCCTCCCCCTTTGTCCATCTCTTAAATATACTAACATGAAAATTGTAGTACTTTCAACATTCCAATTTCAAAACCGCAATTACTGAAAATTACATAATACAAACACATCGATTAACACAAATATGGTGTATTAAGGGACCACAATGTTTCGAACCTTATAACCATTCCATCAACTGAATAGACTGCTGGAGAAATTTGAACGACAAAAAAGAAATCCCACCACCACCAATGAAGTTAAATTATAGTTCACATGTATGCCAACAAAAGCAGGATAAGTGAGATTATGCAAGAAAAAACACTAAATACATAAAACATGAAAATGTCCCAAGAGTTGCTATATACCAAGTGTGCAAAGTTCAAAAAAAGGGAAAAAAAAAAAAAAAAAAAAAAAAAAAAAAAAAAGCAACACAATCATAATTTTTAAGCCCAAAAAAAGGTTCCAGGAAAAGCATACCCTCAGAGTCTCCCATGCAGTAGCATGTGCTTCCGGTGTCTACAAAAGAACAGTTCATTATTTAAATGATGGAATTATGGGCTAATAGAAGGCATTTGTGATTCCATGTACAAAAAAAAAAATACCGATTTGGAACTTTCATCCTCAAGATCAGTAGCCGCAATCCAATCTATTGATGGCTTCAAAGAACATGCAATGCATGCATGAAGAAGGGCCTGCAAAATAAGTTTAGATCCCAACAGGTCATACAAAAGCAATTAACTTTTTTCATATTATTTCTAGCTAGAAATTAACGTAACTCTCTAATAATGAAACAATACTCAATTTGCAGTTAAAATGTGCAGGATTGAATAAATGCTTGAATAATCTATGCATGTATGTATAATAAGTTTTGAAAACATATACTACAAGAGCCCCACAACCATGCATGTGGAAATAAGAGTAGTTGAATTCTTTGAGGAAGTACTAAAATAGCACCTTCACAACAGAAAGGTATGAATCTGTCAAACCAACGTACTTTCCTACCATCGCAATTTTCACCTAAAAGAGCCAAAATATTAATTATCTTAGAGTTCACAAAAATCATATAGACGTATCTAAATTACAGCATAAAGTAGACTAACTGAATTTGTGATATTATCATGGGTTGCAGCCATATTTGTCCAGTCACGCAAATCAGGAGCAGCAGCAATCCTGGGACAACATACATGGCTATTAGCATAAATAATCAAGTCACACTTTAGGCTGCTTATACGTATCCAGATTTCCTAAACAACTTTTCTTAACATTTTATTTTTGAGCGTTATTATTTTTTCTCCTAAGCTATGTAACACATGTAATGTCTTTAAAGGGAAAAATACATTTTAAGGCAATAAGTTTCCCAAGACACATAAAGGGCATCAATAAGTTAGGCGAGGCCAACTTCATAAAAAATAAACCAAGCTTTGTAGTTTTTTATAAGAAAATTCAATGAGTAATCTATATGCAACAATGGGTAGTTTCTAAAAGTGACAAATTGAATTCTTAGGAAGAATAAAGTCCTTGTGATTTGTTTTCTAAAGTCTCAATTTGAAGAAGTATTATCAGATTTCTATGAAAATGATTCGGAAACTACCTGAGCAAGTCAAGTTGTTTAAGAATTGAATGATGAGCATTCTGGTTCTGTGACAAATACAAACCCAAGAAACTGTAAGTATAATTTCCAACAAGATGCAACTAAGCCAAAAACGACAGAAAAACATAATCACATAAGATACATATACATATCCATAGATGCGCACATACATAAATACAAACATATGCATGTGAGCGTGCATATTCATGTGCATGCATGTATATAGTTTAACACCTACCCTAAGCAAAAGTGGAACGTGCCAGATGTTTGGGACATCATGGATATTGAGAATGTTACCAGCCTGAAAAGACAAAAAAAAAAAAAAAAAAAAAAAAAAAAAAAAAAAAAAAAAAAAAAAAAAAAAAAAAAAAAAAAAAAAAAAAAAAAGGCAAAAATTAGTAATCAATAATGAAAAGACAATTCCATCAAAAATTTAAAATCTCAATTAACAACTCACTGGAACATGGCAAAACTGTGAAAGCTTCTCCTTCGTGTTGTCCAGTATAGGCTACATATAATCCAAAACAAAAACCTTACCACACCTTGAAATATCAAAACCATTTTAATGAATATGAAGGCCAAAATTTAAGTCATTTAATAAAAATAACAATGCAATTGGGGATGGTTCAACAAAATTACTGCCAAACACAACATGAAACCATAGAACATATAACCAAAATAGCACATATTGCAGTACAAGAAAAAAAATGGACCAAGGTTATCATTCTGAACTCATACTATGATGCCAAAGGAAGAAAACAAAGTTGTAACCAAATGAAAAGTCCGGTGCATTTTGAAGCCTCTTATTATTTGCATTTGTTGGTAAAGAAAATGTACCTGAGCGGATCGGCATGCCAGCAGATGTGGAGTTAAGCCTAAAGCTCTCAGTTCTCGAACACTGTGTTGTGTAGGCTTCGTTTTCTGTGTTTTAAGACAGATAGATAGTGAGGACTACATTCATCATAAAATGGAGACAGAAAATTTATAACCAGACTAGATATAAGAGAACAGAGAATAAACTTTATACAAACTATTTGCACAGTATAAAAAAGATAGATTCTTACTTGCTCCCCAACAACACCCAATACTGGTACTAAGCTCACATGGATAAGGCAGAAGTTGTCTGGGCCTAACAATAAGAAGTGAAATGATAAAATAGTAAATAATGAATAAATAAATAAACTATGGTTTCTAAGAGCTTGATCAACATTAGTGCACATAAGAGTTATATATGACTAGACTCAAGTGCTCATCAAACATAGAAAAAATGTTTGCATTGTTATCTTACCAACTGAAAAGGATAGTTGTCGCAAAGCTTCGATGAATGGCATTGATTCAATGTCACCTTAAAAAGGCCACAAAAAATTTATTTCTTGGAACAAAGCATACATTATGAAAATAGTACCAGGGAAAAGTTTCAGACTAATGTAATTGATAAGTTACCTACAGTCCCTCCTAGTTCTATCACACAAACATCAGCAGGGCCCTCCTGGCCGTCCACAGGAATGGTAGCTACTGACTCAATGCGATTTTTAATTGCATCTGTGATGTGTGGAACCACCTAAATTCAATGATATTATAAAAATAATACTAAGAAATTAGTCTGGAAAGATAAAAAGTAACATCTGTGCAAGGAAAACTGGCAGCATGATACATATGAAGCATCACCTGAACAGTCTTCCCAAGGTAATCACCTCTTCGTTCCTTCTCGAGAACAGACTGATAAAATTGCATACATAGAATCAATGAGCAAGCTAGTACAATACATAAGTATGAACTTGAACAAAACTTATTCCAATTACCTGATATATTTTTCCTGTCGTAATATTGTTCTCTCTTGTCAACGTTAAATCTAGGAAACGCTCATAGTTTCCCAAGTCTAGATCAACCTGAAATAATAAATATAAAGACAATCATGCCTCAAATGAAACTGAAAGGAGAATATATTCAAACAATTTTACACCATGTCTCAAAAGGAAACGCAGAGTCATTTTTGAATGGCTGGAATGGAAGCTACCTCACCGCCATCATCAAGAACAAAAACTTCCCCATGTTCGAAGGGAGACATGGTACCGGCATCCATATTCAAGTACGGATCTGAAAATTCAAACGCCACAAACCATTAAGGACCAACTCAGGCACGTGCAAGCAATCGAACCATAATCATTTTTTTAAATGAACTAATAATCTGAAGAGAACATGCAGACCATCACCAGACCACTGAGAAACGATCGGAAAGACAAGAATAAACTTCCGCTAAACAAAAGTAGGACAAAGACTCGTCATCAACACGCCACCGTGATGAACTAATCACAGTCTAAGAGAATACAAGCATATAAAAAAAAAAAATCCAAAATCCGAAAAAGAACACCGCTAAAAATCAAATAAACAGAATCCAAAACATGCACAATAAATCAAACAAGTTGACAGAGGGAAAAACTCATAAAAAGCGACAACATTGTACAGTTCGGGGAACAAAATGCAGCAAGAATAAAAAACAAAAGGCGAAAAACACAAGAACAGTGCATAGAATACATCGTTGTTTGACGAAAACAATAAGCAAAAGAAGAAGAGAGGAAAACCGATTTTGATGGAGGTGACTCGCAGGCCACAGGCTTTGAGGACGAGGCCAATACTGCTGGCGGTGACGCCTTTGCCGAGTCCACTGACGACGCCGCCGGTGACCAAAACGTACTTCATTGTGCAGAAATTGAGAGGAAAAAGAGTTTCGGCTAATGTCTGAGCGGGAAAGCTTGAGGGTGAAGAAGAAGAAGGTGGGAGGTTCGGCTTTGTTCGTTACCAGGTTTTATACTAAACCTAGAAAGAGAGACCGAAGTAAAAAGGGGTTTTGACTCGCAGTCTGGACTGGACTCTCTCAACAATCTAAGTGCATGCGTTTCTTCCTTCCAGGGCTTTATATATTCACCCTATCCCTAAAACCTTTCGTTTTTTATTATTTTTCTTAATTCTAAATAATATCCTTTTACATTTTAATTTTAATTTATTCCCTAAACCAAATATTATATCAATTTCATAACTAACTAAATCATTTTACGAAGATCGTAACCGTAACTCTTGAAAGTATGACCTACACGAAACAATGACCTTGCGTATTCCTTCCGTCTTCAATGTCGACACCAACGATAACTAGTACGAGGAAGATCCAAGCTCCAACGTCGTTAAATGCAGTGATGGTCGTGGTGGTTGTTGAGAAGTTTGAACTCAACCATAACAGTCAAAGCTTACTGCTAAAAGATATTGTTTAATTTGGTGTATTACGGTTAGTTTCACTGTATTAAAGCGTGTCTGTTAGGGAGAGGTCTCTACACTCTTATAAAAAATGATTCGTTTACTTCTCCAACTGATATGAGATCTTACGTCAATTAAATTGCGAGAAATATTATAGAAAAGACAATGTAGAACGACGCTCGTAAACGCAATTTCTACCTAACTCGTAGCAATAAAAGTCAAATTCAACTGTTTGGGTTAAAATTGGAATGGGAAAATATTTCTTTTAAAAAAATAAAAAGTGGATGGTAAAGAGTATTAGTGGATAAGTTTGGAGGTTAAATTTGGTATAAAAGAGTAACTTGATTTTGGTGGTATGTAATTAATATTATAAATAATAATTATAAAAATGAAGAATTGGGTGAAGAATCGGAAGCCTTTATTTTATATACATAAAATATTAATTTAAGAAATGGGTTAAGAATTGTGGTACGTAAAATGAAGAGCTTTTGGTATTAAAAGAAAAAATCAATAAACTTGAAAATGAAAGGCACTCCTTTCAACAGAATAAACACTTTACCCTTTTGGCTTTGACTATTTATATCTATCACAGAAGAATAAATCATCAAATATTCTGATGGAAAAGGGTTTCTTTATATGTACATATATATACATATTTTTTCCGATTTTTTTTAAATATATTTCATACCTATAATTTAAACGCGAAGTGAGAGTAGTCGAATCACTAATTTGTTTGCTAAAAACGTTTAAATCTTAATTAGTTTAATAAAGAAATGTTTAAATGAGAGGATTATGAGCACAATTATATAAAATGATATGAGTTGACAAATATACTCATGTTTTAAAGAAAATTAGGGGAAGGATATTAGTAAGTTTGAGAAAATTTTTGAAATTTCAGTGCAGTGACCCGTATTACAAATATCAAATATTATCAATATTTATAGCAGTCTTAAAAATGAGTTCCCGACCATAAATATAAGGTAACGGGACAAGTTTTAGCTTTTGGTAGGAAGAGGTTCCTTTTGGATGTGGATCAATCACAATGTTGTAAAGCTTATTCGTGTTGACTTTGTAACGTATAAAAAAATGTATCTATTAGAATTAAGAAGATTCTTCATATAATATTTAATTTAGTAGACTTTATACCTTCTTTCATTTCTATATTATTTATAATATTGATTCTTGTGGTTGCAAATAATATATTTATTTTCTTGTTTTTAGTCATTGTCGATGAATTATTTTTTAAAAATACAAAATAATTTTAAATTTCAATTTTAGAGTATGTTTGTGAGTAATGTTAATTTAATTTGCTTAAAAAAAGTATTTTAATAAAATTACTTCCAAAGCTGTTTTTCAAAGGAAAATAAGAAAAAGGGAAAGAAATAAAGCAGTGATATGTGAAGGAAAACAAAATAGAATACTAAATAAACTCAGAGCCCAAGAAGCCATGTGGGAGTTCTTTTGTAAAACAAAGATCTCAAGAACATGATGTACCTATGCCTACTACTCATAAATGGAACAGGAAAACGGTATGGCCATGAAGAACTCCACAACTAATTGCCGCCAAATTAAGAAGATTGAACAAAACTTGAGAGAATGTTTTTCTTCAAGGTGAACTCGTCTGCTTTTGCTGGGCTTACCGCCTGCATTTGATTGAAACAAAAAGAAGTGCAACAAAGTTGTCAGCTTTCATTCCAACGAAACTCGAACCGCAACAAATAAGAACCTCTCGACAGGTCAAATCGGATATGTAATTATTGGAATAATTGTTGAAGACTCAAATGGTGGATATGCAAGCATGATAACTTATATGCTGTATCACCATGAATCTAGGAACTTTTGCTTATCATTTGGTCTACGTCGGGAACTGATAACATTCGAGATTATGCAGGATTATACACAAAAGATCCTCTTTTGGCTCTCTTTAGCCCTATGTGGTCGTCCTCCACTAGTAGGTTTTTTCGAAAAACTCATTTATTCTGGTGTGGATGGTAGGCAGGCCTATATTTCTTCATTTCAATACGACTTCTTACGAGCGTTGTTTCTATCTACTATTATCTCAAAATAATCAAGTTATTAATGACGGGACGAAACCAAAAAATAACCCCTCACGTGCGGTTGAGCTCAAGTAATTAGTTAGCTACTTGGCTTTTTTGGAACAAAAACTCCAAACAGAGCATTGCTATTTCATTTAAAAAGAAAACGTCTAAAAGACTAACCTTCTCGAGTATGCGCTGGATCCTTTCGATCTCGGACTTGGCATAATCACCACCTTTCTCCAGACATTTTTTAGCAGATTTCAAGTATATCTTCCCATACCTGCAGAATAGCAATCAACAACTATGAGACAATACTTCCTACATAATCCAGCAATTAATTCCTGGAAACATAGTTTTTTTTCATAAGAGGAAATATGGAAAGCTACAAACAATCTGAAGCTTATTGAATTACTATATGTTACTGTTCTTAAGAAACTGAATGCTAAAATCAAATAAAGAATTGTATACTTTGCAGGTGATCCGCTGAGCTTTCCAACTTCTACTTCCATCTTGGAATAAACATTCTTTTTCTCTGCATCATTGCTAGCAGCTACAAACTCTTTCACCAATGAATCTAAACTAGCAACTATACCAGCCTACAAAAAAAATCACATACTTGAGCAGACCATTAAACAAGAATATAAAATTTGAACATCGTCATTCGCTAACATTGGCTGTAAGTTGTCCCTTCACGTCACGATTGGTCCCGGTCTTTTCGTTGATGAAATTAACAAAGTCACCAACATCTCTGCCACCATCGTAGTCTTCACCATCTTTGTTGCCTTTTGGGAAGAATTTTAATGTAGGGAAACCACTAATGCCATACCTGTAGTATAATTGGATACCGACCCCTTTAATATTAACTTGGAGAAAACACTAAAAAGACAAACCCCATGGCAAATTAATATACATGTAAACTTTACTTTTCAGCTAAATCCTTGTATTTGTCAGCATCTAAGTTAGCGATTACGACGTCACTTTCCAATTTAAATGCTGCAGCCACCTTTTCATAAATCTGAGGGAAAATATAGTACGATATTAAATTGTTTATTATTCATGATAATTTACCAACAGAAGCATAAGAAGAAAACTACTTACTGGAGCAAGGTTCTTGCAGTGGCCACACCTGAGATGTAGAGTTTAATTAGATACTTCAAAATCATACTAAAATAACACACACACACACACACAAAAAAAAGGTTAGATACCAGGGTGCATAAAATTCAACCAGCACATCTTTGCTTGAATCTAAAACAATCTCGTTGAAATTATCTGGTGAAAGCACAACCACAATGGATGGAATTGATGCAATCTTCACATTGGTTCCTGGAAGAATAGTAATCGGGGAAATACCAAAGGCCATTAGTTATACCATCTAAAGTATCAGTATAAGTGGGGTGGGTCTTCCTAGATACAGTTTCATGAAACTTTGATCAACATTTATTGTACAGAGAGTTAAATCTGAAAACAAACTTATTGGGTTAATGCTAAAAATGCATCTAAATAACTTTATGATATGTAAGACGTTCTTTGGGGATAGGTTAGCAAAAGAGACGGAAAGAGTTTTTACCCATTATACGATCACAAACTATTAAGGTGCACTGTGCATGCCTAGTAGCTATTCATATGTCCCCATCAAGAACAATAAAGCCAAGAGTGAAATGCAAGGAGTCTGAATTAAAAGCGTTAGAATGGAGTACATTCTTTAAATCAGACAACGCAAATTGGGTGTTTACAAAAATTTAGCACGTTAAAAAAAATGATTTTACAGGAATGAACAACTACCTCCTAAACTGTTCACAAACTCGGCAAGGGCTTCAGCTGTACGTGGACCTTCATATCTGTATAAGAGATTGATAAGTGAAGTTTATAATCAATATAATAAACAACCAGTTTTCAGATAAAAATATCATGCTATGAAATAACTTCCTCATTACTATTTTCAAAATAGCTTTCCTTACTTTTGCGGTTCAAGCGATCCCTTGGGAAACCATTGAATTGTTGGGTACCCAGAGACCCCATATTTACTGCATACGCCCTTGTGCTCATCACAGTCGACCTACACAATATGATTAAAAATTTCCATATTAACTCTCGTTTTCGAGTTGAGGAAGAGCATTCGAGTAACAAGGGTAAATAATAGAACAAAAGCATTTGAAAACAACTGCAGTTTTGAGAAAAAATGCTTGCGAACATTTTTTTTTTTTTTTTTTTTAAGAGTGGTGGATGGGGCGAATTGTAGAATCTAATAGTCACGGCGGGCATCAAAGATCATATCCACAAAATATCATTACAAAAACAGAGTACGGAGATAATGTAGATAACCTAACGAATATTAATTTAATTGATACAGAACCACGGTAAAGAACTGACCTTTCCGATCAAAACAGATTTTGCTTTCTTAAAGCTGCTTCCAAGCTTTTCATAATCTGGCGCAAGCTTCTTACAGTGCCCACACCTATTACAACGATAGGGTAAACTTTCAGTATTCATATGATCGGGGAGATAAACTACGAGCAATTGGAAATATCCCTCAATGCCTACAGGTATTCCACAAGCAGGAGAAAACCTCCCCAATGTGATTAATTTCGATGACTACTTCTCTTTTAGTAAGAACTACAGCAAAAGTGAGTTCAAAAAATGGGCGGATCAATCTAGACACAGCATACAGATCTGGCCCAGGCCATGATAACTAAGCTACAAACACAGCATATGACCGACGCGACATATGACAACCTCCTCCATAGACATATAAAATGTTACAAAAATAAGAAAAGAGCATTTCCGCCATCGATCATTCGTAATTCCACTTTATATTCTCGTCTAAAGAACAAGAACAGACAAGGAGATTACCTACAAATTTCCAACTGTAACATACAGATCTACAACCAACCAATCACAAGGAACAATACATAAATGTCCCAGTTTAGAATCGAGACATTGCACAAACTATTCAATTTCAAATCACAAGAAGACGGATTACCAAGGAGCGTAGAACTCAACCAGAGCTCCTCTATCTTGGCCGACTTCGTCCTCGAAGTTTTCCTCCGTCAACACTACAACATCGTCGGCCACTGCCGAAGACAAAAATAAGGCCAGTGCGGCAAACGCGAACCAGATCTGATGCTTCGCCATTTTTATGATCACTTCACAAAGCTTCGAATGAAAAATGGGAACGAAATGTTGTAAATATCGGGAAATCGGGCGGCCGATTGAAAGCAGGTAAAGTTTGACTCGGAATTTCTACCCTGCGGACTCGCCTTATTCTCTCACCCTACAATGTTCCAATAGACTGTTGATTTGATCTGGTGGCGCAAGGCAATTGGATGATGCTTAGGATACACGATTCTTATTATGGAGAATCTTCCACTTGATTTTCACTCTAAGTATTGACGTGTTATATTGACGTGGCGAACTGTGATAGGTTGGAGTACGTGGAGATCCGGTGTGGCTTTTTCGGAATTTGATTATTTTTTTAATTCATTGGGCTTGGGATTGGGCTTGAAATCAAACACCGTGGGCCTTCAGCCCATCTGATCCCCGGCCCAATTTACTTTTGGGTTTGGGGTCTAGACAAATTTTAAAAATTAGATATATGAGATTTTCTAAAAATGTCCGAATAGTATTTTTTATTAAAAAAATAAATTAAAAGAAAGTCTAAAATTAAATTTTTTATAAATAAAATGGTTATTAAATACCACTATGAAAGAATTAATAAAGGTCTAAAATAGCAATTTCCACGTAGTTTTTTTTTTTTGGTTAAAATTTTCATAATAAATAAAAGAGCGCAATATTCCCCCCATAGGCCATCGCAAAAAGGGCAGCCTAACGTGGCAAGATATGATTGGCTGAAACTCAATAAGCTCGAATTTGATTGGTCTGTATGTAAGAAGAACACGTCGCTAAGCGTAGTGACTGGGCAAGGTCCTCAGCTTCGCCATATTTTTGTTTCGGTGGAATCGACTCGACGACCAAGTTCAGGCGGCGACTCCGGCTCTGAATTCCAGAGCGAAGATTTGGATTCAGAGAGAGAGACAGAGACAAGAAGCAAGTTCGTTTGATCTTCGTGAAAAATCCAGTAATGTGCCTTGTTGATCTGTGATCGATTCCACGAACTCTGAATAATTTCTTTGAGAGATCATTTCATTTCCCCCCTTTGTGTTTCTTACACCTACACCATTTCATTTCCCCCTTTGTGTTTCTTACACCCTTCGTCACTCTCCCCGATGGCGCATCGGAGAACGAAACTCTTCTTCGTTGTTTGTGCCCTCTGCTACGTTCTTTCCGCCATTGCAGGGTATTGTTGAATGACCCTACATTCTCATAACCTGCACGTCTTTGTAGCTTCATTGCAATGGCTATTTCATCTCGCTTTGTGCTGGTTTTTCTTGTTTTTGGTAATCAGGAAGAGCTATTACGACATACTGCAAGTGCCGAAGGGTGCGTCAGAAGAGCAGATCAAAAGGGCGTATAGGAAGCTCGCTCTGAAGTACCATCCTGATAAGAATCAGGGAAACGAGGAAGCCAATAAACGATTTTCGGAGATTAGCAATGGTAATATTGTCCTCCTTTTGATGTTTCTTTTCAAGATTGTGACATTATTTTTCAGATTCAGGATTTATCAATTTGGTTGTTTGATTTAGCTTATGAGGTTCTAGCCGACGGAGAGAAGAGGAACATTTATGATAGATACGGAGAGGAGGGTCTGAAACAGCATGCTGCAAGTGGAGGTAGAGGTGGAGGGATGGGGATGAACATTCAGGATATTTTTAGTCAGTAAGTTAATTCATTCTTTACAATATTGAGTTTTCTCTAATGAGTTAGCCATGGTTCGCTTAATCATTACAGTTTTCTTGTGTTTATTTTGTTAAATGAAGCGCATTATTGGTGAAAGATGCCTATATGGTGGTTGATCTATGATATTCCCATCTATGATTTCTCCAATTTAGTTTAGATATGCACTTCCATTTTGTGTTCTTGATTGAACTTTTGGGTGTTTTCAATTTGAGAATTTGTGCCAGTACTGATTATTGACATTGTAAAATTTGAAGGTTTTTTGGCGGAGGAGGTGGTATGGAAGAGGAAGAGAAAATTCCTAAAGGTGACGACGTAGTTGTGGAATTGGATGCGTCATTGGAAGATCTCTACATGGGTGGTTCATTGAAGGTAAGGTTTCCCTATTGCATTTTACATAATTGCTCAATATATCCATTGGAGGAAGAGATGATCTCAAAATCTAGCCAAAGAAGATTTAATAATTCCCCTAGTGGCTATAATGTCGAAGGAGTTCTTGCCTAAGAAAGGCCAAATTTGTTGTATGGATTCTTCTGTTAGAAGGCTTCATATCCGTTATAGAATTTAGAAGAAACACTGTTATCCACGCCTTTCTTCCAACTATTATTTTCGCTAAGCATATCGCCGAATATAAACTCACTATTCCTGATTAAATTTTTGTATCGATATTTATCGCAGATCTCTGTTGTCGTGCTTTTAGGGTTAATGCCAAATCTTCCGTATGTATAAATGATACAATGGATCTCCTTTTCCAAAGCTTCCTTTTCACTCTGGAGCTTTGGAGTAGAATTATTGGCATTTTCATGAATGTGTTGGGTATAGATGCCTTGAAGGACGTGCCTTTTTCCTTGCTTGTTTTTTGTGGCCATTACTTTAGGGAGAAATCAAAGACTATGCTTTTAATGCCTTGAGAGCCATCTTATGGGAAGTTTGGTTGGAGGGAAAAAATGGCAGGGTCTTTGTAGGAGAGGAAAATGATGTAGGACTTGTGTGATGAGACTTGTGTTTTCATATTCTTTTGGCCATTTTCAATTTTCTTTCCTTGATTTGTATCTATTGGAGAGGATTGTTGTCATTCCATACACTCTCTGAACTTTTTGCCTTGTAATTTCATTTGATTATGAAAAATTTCCTGTTGAAAAATGTCATATATTAGGAAACTATTTTCATAACTGTGCTTTAAACGAAGTAGTTGTGGCTGCCGTTTACCAATTAAACCTTTGCCACTCTCCCATCCCAAAAGTTATCAACACCTACCAATGTGGCTTTTGTCTCTTTCATATTCCTCAGAACAGATTTGATCGACCGAACACATATCTTCCTTTTCAATTTCAAAATTTAAGACTATTGGCCAACATACTTCTGTAGCTTCATTCTACCATTCTAGTGGTGATATCCCATGTTTTTTTTTTTTTTTTTT